CTTGACAAAATGCTCATTAAAAATGTATCCTCACCACTAGCCCAGTCTAAAGTAACTCACTTCTCAGTACGTGACCGCTAATGCGAAAACTATAGGGTTTGATAGTCCCCAATCTCCTCAAACTGTGTTGCTCCATTTCTATTTATGACAAAGAATGCATTCGAACGCCTGTACACTCCTATTACGATGTACCACAACTATTCTCTGTCTAGCTAAGCTGTTGGGTTACAAAGAACATCTGACTAATGAGTAAAAAGCAAAGTCTGCATAAGTACGTTCACACTGCCTGATGATTTAACTGCTAATCTCAATCTCGTTTATCACAGCTTTCGTAGTCCAGTAGTTTTCCTGTCAACGCATGGCCGAAAATCTGTTCAACAAACCGCCAAATGTAATTGAGTTGAATAAGAAATGGTGCATGGTTGGAAAGACGGGATAAGAGTTCCAGTTTGATGCCTGTTGTCACATCATCTCCACGATTTGGAACAAGATATTTCGGTAGTTTTATTCATGAACTCCAATTATCTCCAATAGAGTAAAAAAAAATGAACGAATGAAACAGAATGTACAAAAGGTTTATTGTTCCATTTCTTCCGGTTCGTCATTAGAATCCGCTGAGGAGTCTGGTTCCGGAATAAAATAGAACTGTCCGTCATCTAATTTCCGACAGACCACACGTACCGCATCCGGAAGTGAGGTAATCACCTCAAAACCGTCAGTTTCTTCCATAATTTTAACGCCTTCATCTTCTGACCATGAAGCGACAAGACTCACGCGGAACTCGGCCAATTCCATATCAAATAATTTCTGTCCGTCAGGTGTTCGCCGAATAGATAATAGAACATGAAGCATGATCTTTTTCAATTGAACGAAGCACAATGATCCATAGCGAAAGAAAAAATAAACAAGATCGGCAAACGCTATCCGAATCTGCATGAAAGTCAACACACCGATGATGCAGATAATCAATTTTCCAAGGAGAACCTTAATATTAGAACTATCGCTTTTCGGTAGTTTCCTGCTATATCGTTGCGGGATATAATTCTATATATGTGCTGTCACTATTACAGTAGAGTTAGACCCTGAGCAATAATTCTCAAATCACTTTATAAATCGACTACGAACGCTTTGTACAACTTCTACAACCTCCAATCAAAACGGTGCATCAAGCTGCAACCAATTCAGACGTGACACACGCTCCTCGATGACCCGACGCGAATC